GTCGTGGGGTTATCACCGCTGTGAGAACTTTGATCTGAGCTGCCTCCTGGGGTTATTACCGCTGTGAGAATTTTGATCTAAGGTGCCTTTTGGGGTTATCACCGCTGTGAGAAGTTTGATCTGAGCTGCCTCGTGGGGTTATCACCGCTGTGAGAACTTTGATCTGACCTGCCTCCTGGGGTTATTACCGCTGTGAGAACTTTGATCTGAGCTGCCTCCTGGCGTTGTCACCGCTCTGAGAAGTTTGATCTGAGCTGTCTCCTAGGGTTATCGCCGCTGTGAGAACTTTGATCTGAGCTGCCTCTTGGGGTTATTACCGCTGTGAGAACTTTGATCTGAGCTACCTCCTTGCATTATCTCCGCTGTGAGAACTTTGATCTGAGCTGCCTCCTAGGGCTATCGCCTCTGTGAGAACTTTTATCTGAGTTGCCTCCTGGGGTTATCACCGCTGTGAGAACTTTGATCTGAGCTGCCTCCTGTGGTTATTAACCCCTGTGGAGAAAATTTAATCTGAGCTGCCTCTTGGCGTTGTCTCCGCCGTGAGAACTTTGATCTTAGCTGCCTTCTGGGTTTATCACCGCTGTGAGAGCTTTGATCTGAGCTACCTCCTGGGGTTATTACCGCTGTGAGAACTTTGATCTGAGCTGCCTCCTGGGGCTATCATCGCTTTGAGAACTTTGATCTGAGCTGCCTCCTGGGGTTATCTCCTCTGTGAGAACTTTGATCTGAGCTGCCTCCTGGGGTATCACTGCTGTGAGAACTTGGATTTAAGCTGCCTCCTGGGGTTATCTCCGCTGTGAGAACTTTGATCAGAGCTGCCTCCTGGGGTTATCGCCGCTGTGAGAACTTTTATCTGAGCTGCCTCCTGGGGTTATCACTACTGCGAAAAGTTTGATCTGAGCTGCCTCCTTGGGTTATCACCGCTGTGAGAAGTTTGATCTGAGCTGCCTCCTAGGGTTATCACCGCTGTGAGAACTTTGATCTGAGCTGCCTCCTGAGGTTATTACCGCTGCGAGAACTTTGATCTGAGCTGCCTCCTGGCGTACTCCGCTGTGAGAAATTGATCTGAGCTGTCTCCAGGGTTATTCGTTCTGTGAACTTTCATTGAGCCCTCCTGGGTTATTACCTGTTAGAACTTTGATCAGCTGCCTCCTGCGTTATTCCCCCTGTGAGAACTTTGATCTGAGCTGTCTCCTAGGGTTATCTTCGCTCTGGAACTTTGATCTGAGCTGCCTCCTGGGGTTATTACCGCTTTTGAGAACTTTGATCTGAGCTGCCCCCTGGGGTTATCACCGCTGTGAGAACTTTGATCTAATTGCCGTCCTGGGGGTTTTCACCGCTGTGAGAACTTTGATCTGAGCTGCCTCCTGGGGTATCACCGCTGTGAGACTTTGATCTAATTTACGTCCTTGGGTTCACCGGGAACTTTGATCTGAGCTGCCTCCTGGGGTTATCACCGCTGTGAGAACTTTGATCTAATTTGCGTCCTGGGGTTATTCCCCGCGCTGTGAGAACTTTGAAACTGAGCTGCCTCCTGGGGTTATCACCGCTGTGAGAACTTTGATCTTAATTTACGTCGTGGGGTTATCACCGCTGTGAGAACTTTGATCTGAGCTGCCTCCTGGGGTTATTACCGCTGTGAGAATTTGATCTAAGGTGCCCTTTTGGGGTTATCACCCCTTTTGAGAAGTTTGATCTGAGCTGCCTCGTGGGGTTATCACCGCTGTGAGAACTTTGATCTGACCTGCCTCCTGGGGTTATTACCGCTGTGAGAACTTTGATCTGAGCTGCCTCCTGGCGGGTTTTCACCGCTTGAGAATTTGATCTGAGCTGTCTCCTAGGGTTATCGCCGCATGTGAGAACTTTGATCTGAGCTGCCTCTTGGGGTTATTACCGCTGTGAGAACTTTGATCTGAGCTACCTCCTTGCATTATCTCCGCTGTGAGAACTTTGATCTGAGCTGCTCCTAGGGCTATCGCCCCTGTGAGAATTTTTTCTGAGTTTCCTGGGTTATCCGCTGTGAGAACTTTGATCGAGGGTGCCTCCCGTGGTTATTACCGCTGTGGGGAACTTAATCTGAGCTGCCTTGCGTTGTCTCCGCCCTGAGAACTTTGATCTTAGCCCCCCTGGTTATCACCGCGTGAGAGCTTTTATCTGAGCTACCTCCTTGGGGTTTTTCCGCTTTTGGGGAACTTTTATCTGAGCTGCCTCCTGGGGCTATCATCGCTTTGAGAACTTTGATCTAGCTGCCCCTGGGTTATCCTCTTGAGAACTTTGATCTGAGCTGGGCCCCTGGGGTATCACGTGTGAGAACTTGGAATTAAGTGCCTCCTGGGTTATCTCCGTGTGAGAACTTTGATCAGAGCTGCCTCCTGGGGTTATCGCCGCTGTGAGAACTTTTATCTGAGCTGCCTCCTGGGGTTATCACTACTGCGAAAAGTTTGATCTGAGCTGCCTCCTTGGGTTATCACCGCTGTGAGAAGTTTGATCTGAGCTGCCTCCTAGGGTTATCACCGCTGTGAGAACTTTGATCTGAGCTGCCTCCTGAGGTTATTACCGCTGCGAGAACTTTGATCTGAGCTGCCTCCTGGCGTTATCTCCGCTGTGAGAACTTTGATCTGAGCTGTCTCCTATGGTTATCTTCGTTCTGTGAACTTTCATCTGAGCTGCCTCCTGGGGTTATTACCGCTGTTAGAACTTTGATCTGAGCTGCCTCCTGGCGTTATCTCCGCTGTGAGAACTTTGATCTGAGCTGTCTCCTAGGGTTATCTTCGCTCTGAGAACTTTGATCTGAGCTGCCTCCTGGGGTTATTACCGCTTCGAGAACTTTGATCTGAGCTGCCTCCTGGCGTTATCTCCGCTGTGAGGACTTTGATCTGAGCTGTCTCCTAGGGTTATCTTCGCTCTGAGAACTTTGATCTGAGCTGCCTCTTGGGGTTATTACCGATGTGAGAACTTTGATCTGAGCTGCCTTTCCTGTGGTTAAACTCCGCGTGAGAAAATTTGATCTGAGCTGCCTCCCTGGGGTTATCACGCTGTGAGAACTTTCATCTGAGCTGCCTCCTGGGGTTTTTTACCGCTTGTGAGAACTTTGATCTCAGCTGCCTCCTGGGGTTATCTCCGCTGTGAGAACTTTGATCTGAGCTGCCTCCTTGTGTTATCACCGCTGTGAGAACTTTGATCTGAGCTGCCTCCTGGCGTTATCTCCGCTGTGAGAACTTTGATTTGAGCTGCCTCCTGGGGTTATCACCGCTTTGAGAACTTTGATCTGAGCTGCCTCCTGGTGTTATTACCGCTGTGAGAACTTTGACCTGAACTGCCTCCTAGGGTAATCTCCGCTGTGAGAACTTTGATCTGAGCTGCCTCCTGGGGTTATTACCGCTGTGAGAACTTTGATCTGAGCTGCCTCCTGGGGTTATCTCCGCAGTGAGAACTTTGAAATGAGCTCCCTCCTGGGGTTATAACCACTGTGAGAACTTTGAACTGAGGTGCCTCCTGGGGTTACCACATCTGTGAGAACTTTGATCTGAGCTGCCTCCTGGGGTTATCACCGCTGTGAGAACTTTGATCTAATTTGCGTCCTGGGGTTATCACCGCTGTGAGAACTTTGATCTGAGCTGCCTCCTGGGGTTATCACCGCTGTGAGAACTTTGATCTGAGCTGCCTCCTGGGGTTATCTCCGCTGTGAGAACTTTGATCTAATTTACGTCCTTGGGTTATCACCGCTGTGAGAACTTTGATCTGAGCTGCCTCCTGGGGTTATCTCCGCTGTGAGAACTTTGATCTAACTTACGTCCTGGGGTTATCACCGCTGTGAGAACTTTGATCTGAGCTGCCTCCTGGGGTTATTACCGCTGTGAGAATTTTGATCTAAGGTGCCTCCTGGGGTTATCTCCCTTGTAGCATTATTTGCCACATTCTTCCATTTTAAATGTGTTAAATTTAAATTTAATTTCACAATTTTTAAAGTAATCAATTATACTGTAAGAAAAAATCGAGATATTTTGAAAAAAGAATTTTGATAAAGTAAGGAAATAAAACTGACAATTTGGCATCCACACAGCTCAAAATTAATGAAAAAATATGTCTTAATGTGATATTCCTCCATTTTGTGTTAGAAACTGAGAGAAAAAAAAGATTCTTTAGATATTACTTGGGAAACAATTTGCTCAATAATACTAGAAATTTGAAATTTACACAATTTCAATAAAATGATCCGATTCCAACTTTTCCTTTGCGTCTCCACGAATATTGCCAAATAATAACAAAAAAAATATTTTCGTTCTTTGACCATGAAAATTCTTCAGTCTAATTATTGTATTTGTATATGCAATTTCCATTAAAAAAATAATAGAATCTGACAATTTAAAAACTATATATGCGATGAACAAGCACCAGCCCCTTTAAAAGAGTCTTCGAGTTACTAACAGTTATGTTAACTTTGATCATCAAAATAAACCAGAAAGTGAACCACATGATCAAGATAAATGCAGACGAAGAGTGGTCATTAATGTTTCGAGTGATATTTACAAGTGAAATGTATAAGCGAGTCTCATCGCTGAGTACAAGAAGAGTTGTGTTGAGTGTGAGCGTCTACACTCTGAGCTCTTCGTCTTTTGACTCCAGAAATATAAATCCGAACGACAGAATAAAAGCATCTAAAAACTCACTGAAAAAAAAAAATAAATTACTTACGAGAGAATTTTTTATATATATTTCTGTAAATCTATGAAAAAATAAAGCCAGGAAACAATATTCTTTCAAGGTTTCGTTTATTAGGAAGAATATATTGACACTTATTTAGCAATGTTATGTTTGGCTGTGAAGGAAAGATTTATTTTTGAAAACATTATCGTGTCAAAATTAATAAAAGGTTGAGAATATCTTCATGAATTAAGTAAAATACGAATCGAACTTGAATTTGTTATAAAATATTTTTTTTCTTTAATTAAAAGTCGGAAAATTTCACCTGTAATGAAATTTGTAATATTTACCTTCCTCGTGGTCATCAGCTGATACATGGTGAAGTGCTGGTTCATAAGCTGCCTGAATAGTAACTGGAACAGTTGTCAGCAAAAAATTCTCTCTCTCAATTCGGCGTTTCTTCTCTTCTGCTTCTAAGGCAGATCGAACCATCTCTGCTTGCAGTTTTCGTCTGGTTCTTGTTGCAGTCACAAATGACCTCTGAGTTTCAGAAAGATGGAAAATTTTAATCTCTTTGACTAATATATACATATTTGAAAGCTGCAACACCAAACATGGGTATAAAGTCAATCCAATTTTTAACACTCTTGCCTTCTCGTAGACGCGCAGGGAGACCCCGAAAAAGATGAAATAATTTGACCATCATTTATTTAATCATTCCAGAAGTTTGGTGGTATTACAGCTCAGATGACCCTCTTAACTATAACTTTCCCCACCCCTGCTTCAGAGTGCAAGCACCCTACTTTGCTTCTCCAGGAAATCAAGCCTGGAACTGGTTTCCTTGAATCCCTTAGTAAACATTATCCTGCTCACTTTCGAAAAGCACGTCAAATCATAAATACCACTTGCCTCCACCCACTTCTATTTAGCACGCACACAACCCTGTTGGATGCCCAAGGTCATAGCACTTTAAACCACTTTTACCACCTCCCTTTATCCCTTCCTGGGAAGATCCCTACCCATTGTTCCCACCACCTCATATTTAAATGCCCTCCTAATCTTGACGACTGGGGAGACAGTGACCATTAGGAGAAGTAAGAATAAAACCCTGGAAAGGCAGTGTAGGAAGCCTATTGGGTAGGTCCCGCTAAAGTCCAAAGATTCTCACTCACAACTGGTAGGTCAAGCAAAATATGATGATACCTAACTGTTGCACATGTAACTTACTTATCAACATGTCGATATTGTATACCACTACAAAATTCACACTGTCAGACACTAGTTAGCAATGAGAATGGTTGGATTTGAGAACGACGTACGCAATAGGTTTGCTACACTGCCAACACTTACTTCCATTAGTAGGTTCCGTTTATCCTGTCGTCAACATTATCTGAGCCTCACCTCTGACAGTATATAAGTCTAAATTCTGTTAATTCAGGTTCACATTTGTTTTAGACTGTGAAACATAACTCTTCTCAAGGCTGAGGGACTGACTACCTCAAAATTACTCCTTCGAGGTGATGGAATAATTATATCGTCTTCACATCTCTACTGTTTCATCTGCCTCCTCTTTTTGTGACCGATGAAGCCTACTGTGAACTCGAAACTCTTAGAGATAAAGATACCTAAGTGTTGTCTAGATTTTTTAACACTCCTTACCTTGCTCTTTTTGGAGTATACCTGGAGTATACCTGGAGTATACCTGGAGTATACCTGGAGTATACCTGGAGTATACCTATATGTTCACTTTTAATTTCATTCTTTAATATGCCCTCCCAAATGTCTAGAAAATCGTTATACAATATATATATATATATTATATATATATATATATATATATATATATATATATATATATATTATATATATATATATATATATATATATATATTATATATATATAGGATGGGGTCCACTCTGGTGTAAATTGTGGGATCCATAGCCTCGGAGAAGTGGATAAAAAGGCTTCAAGGAAGAATATTTGGATTTCTTCCTGAAGCCATTTGAATATTCCACTTCCCCTACCACCCCATCTTTTAAACTATTTTTTTTTTACCAATAGGAATATATATATATTATTATATATATATATATATATTTATATATATATATATATATAATATATATATATATATTATATATATATATATATATATATATATATATATATATTTATATATATATATATATATATATATATATATTACATACAGGATGTAGCTAATGTGAACAACCTTCTAACTAATGAAATAGAGGGAATAATTCCCTCAATTTGTCAGCCAGTAATATCCGATGTCGCAGAACCTTCTAGAAATATTTCAGTGTCAACATGTCTGTGTGAATTCTCCTATTCAGGCTTTTCTGTCTTACAATAACTAGACAATTCCTGATTTTTTACCTTTTTAAACACCATTACTATCATTATTACCCACTATCATCCGCTACTATTATTATCATTATAACATTACCAACAACATAATTCAGTAAACCACTAAACTAGATGCAATCAACGTGTTGCAATCAACTAAGTATACCTTGTATCGCTGTACCTACTCAGAGAAGACAATAAACGTATTTCTGGGAAAACTCAAGGTTCTCCCCGAAGCTATTTCAATATTTTCTTCTCTTATTTTCTTCTATAAAGCTTACCTGACCTTATTATAACAAGCGTAATTTAATATATCTTAATGCAACTAAATATATTATAGATAAGTTTACAATAATTTAATAAACAAACTCAATAAAATATATTTTTCTCGTTAGGTTGAAAATGATTATCGAGAAATTATTGCATGCAGAAATTATCGCTTGCCTTATTCGGGTGTGTCTGGGCTAATTTTATTCTACTCCGGTTTGGTGTACTAGCCTCCACGAGCAGTTTACACCTGGGTAGTGGAGGTTTAGTACACCAAACGGGGAGTAGAATGAAATTAACTCAGAGGCACCTACACCACCGTATGTCCTCGATCAAGGAAAAAACACCTTGCTCTGCTGGGTGCTTGATTCTTGTATGATTGCTTGATCCTGGGGGTTAGAGCGTCATTGATTTTTCGCTCACCATGAGGCGGGCCAAAAACGACATGGGTTAGAATCCTCTGCTAGTCGCAGTTTTGGTTTTTTAATGTTATTACAAATACTGAAAAGTCTGGTCACAGACCGGGTCGCGGAAGCGTTGATCCCCGAAACCCTCCCCAAGGTATTCACAGAGAAATAATAGATAGCACAATATAGCTATTCTGAAAATACCTGGAGTACCCCTTTGGGGAAAAGGTTTTCGTGGGTCAACGCCCCCGCTGCCCGGTCTGAGACCAGGCCAGAAAAATAATTATTCATGTGTAAATACTAATCTTACTTACATCAAAGACTGAATGATATTTAAAAAACTAAATATTCTTTACTGGGGACTCACATGCTGGATCTGGTTGACTGTGACTTCATCCCATTAGTCTTGAAGTAGGGCATCCATGGAGGGTCTACCACTGGCAGAGACTCCACGCCTATCTTGGGGGATGGAAGTGTGAATTCTATCCCATGAGGTGGAACTTAAAAGTGAGTTGAGCTCCCTCTTCCATCCGTGGCCAGGTTTGGTATCGTGATTGCCACAACACTTGAAACCTGTAAAGACTTTAGACTTTTGAAAGAATGTATCAAGATGTGGTGAGGTGTTGTCATCTAAGGAATTAGAATTATTCTCCTTTTCACTTTCATCTACATTCTTTGTCTCGCATTCCCCGTTCGCTGTATGGTAAATATGTGTGTTTGTTTGTTTGTTTGTTTGTGTGTGTGTGTGTTTGTGTGTGTGTGTTTGTGTGTGTGTGTGTGTGTGTGTGTGTGTGTGTGTTGTGTGTGTGTGTGTGTGTTGTGTGGGGTGTGTGTGTGTGTGTGTGTGTGTATCGTGCGAATATTTAAAATTTGTCAACTAAAAATATCTCACTTAAATTTAAGGCCTCTCCAAAATTTTCACTTATACTTTTAAAGATTTTGTTTCATTTATGTTAATGTAAAAATTTTAAAATTTTTCGTACCAAAACTTACCCACCTAACTAACCTTTAGCCTTATTATAACAAGCAAATTTTTAATTTTGTTTAAATCCAAATAAATATATTTTAGATAAATTAACAATAATTCAATAATACACAAACACGATGAAATATATTTTTATCGTTTAGGTTCAGAGTGTTGGGGAAACACCTTTTCAGTGATAGGGCATCTCAACTTGACTTACTGTAGGCCAGTGCTGCACTAGCTTTTGGTGCTGATGCAGCGAGGGGTCTCCCATTCAGTAATGCCAGTGGGGTAGCTAGGGTCCTGTATTCCCGCTATGTCATTGAGGTTGTCCCAAAAAAATTTTGGTTTTATTTAAATCGTTTGATGCTATGGGAAGAGGATAGGAAAGCTGGTAGGGCGATCTGGGGGGGATTTGCGTACTCCCAGCCCTCCATCCGACTGGAAGTGAGACTTGCAACCACTGTCCATCTTCAAGAGAAAGATTCAATACACTCTCTTTGCATGGTTTTAAGAGGGGGTCATATTCCTTGAGTTTCGGACTGCTGAAAACTTGGGAGTACTCAGAAAGTAGGTAAGTTTTGGAATGGACAGGCACCTGGTGAGTAGGTAGATGGCATCATGTGTAGCAGTGTTTTTTACCCTGCCTTCCATCGTCCTGAGGTCCGAGATTTTTTTTTTCTAGGATCAGATCAAAAGGCACTGGGCACAAGAGGAGTACCAAGGAGAGTGCTGTTGGCTGGATCAATGGCAAACAGTCGATCTTAACAGTGCAAGACAAACCATGAGGTTGGAAATCTTAAACGCAAGTACCTTCACACTTCTCAGTGCGTCATCAGGACCTGTACAATGTTGCAAGGGCAGCAACAAGACAAAATTAGGTGAAGTTTTCAGACAGTAAGGTAGCGCAGGGTGGCCCCCACCAGGATCTCACTCTGAATGAGCGAAGGGAGGCCCGACCGAATGCCAACCACCACCGGTCCCCCCACCCCCTACCCTCTATGGGGTTGGGCAGGGTAGGCCCCACAGTTTGCAAATAGCATGAGGAGTAACTAGGAGACAGTTAATAGCCAGACCTAAGCTTCTAACCGCTGGGAACAGGTCATGTAACATAAGAAGCTACATTACAATAGTGAATTATCCACATACATAATGTAGCTATTGTGTACAATCTTTTAACTAATGAAATAAAAGGAATAAATGTTCTTATTTTGTCAACAGGTAGAACCCGATGTCACAGAAATTTCTAATATAATAACCTATGTGACACGTCAAGATTTCTTATTAATGAAAATAAGATACAGATATATTAAGCATATTTCCTAAATTTTCTTGTAGAAGATAAGTGAACTGTAGATAAAAAAAAATCCAAATATCAACCCCTTTGTGACCTAGTTCCCTAGGTCATTTATGTATCCATATGCTCTGGCGCTTCCATCCACAGACTGGATATGGAGGCACAATAAACTAGCCACTTGGGAGGCAAAATCTAATGTGTCTATAACATTCCCTCTAATAAAAAGTAGTAAAGTTTATTAAAATCAAACTGGAAAAAGCCTTGAACTAAGATTACAACAACATCAGAACAGCATTTGAACTGGACAAGATTCTCATGCTCCGTTTGTGCATTTAGGCTAAGAAAGTTGTATCAAATTAAATTTCATAAAAAATAGTTTTGATTTTAATATGAATATTAGTTCAGGGTTATAAATTACATTCATTTATAATTAATAGAATTTCTGATAAATTTAAGTTCTATCTGAAATATATTTCATAATTTTTATGTGACCTAACTGCAATGAAACACTCAGTTACTGGGAACGCTTGAAGTTCCTCAACCTGTACTCCCTAAAACGTAGGAGGGAGAGATACATGATAATATACACTTGGAAATTCCTAGAGGGTTTAGTACCAAACTTGCTCACGAAAATCACTCCCTATGAAAGCAAAAGACTCAGCAGACGATGCAACATTCCCGCAGTGAAAAGCAGAGGTGCCACTAGCACGATAAGAGTCAACACAATAAGTGTCAGGAGCCCAAAACTGTCCAACTGCCTCCCAGCATACATAAGGAGAATTACCAATAGACCCCTGGCTGTCTTCAAGAAGGCTCTTGACAGGCACCTAAAGTCAGCACCTGACCAACCACCATGAGGCCTGGTCACAGACCGGGCCGCGGGGGCGTTGACCCCCGAAGCCGACTCCAAGTATACTCCAGGTGTAACCAAATTTTTATTACACTCCCATGCTCAGAGTGCTGGGTCAGGTGGTGAGGTCATATGTGCCTTGATATCTCAGCCTTAGTTGCCTTCTACTGTCCTATTATTTTTAACAGTTTCTTGATAATGTGAGAAATGGCGAAAGTGCTTGGATATTCATCAGTTTTTTCACATAGTGGTTATTTTGCATCTTATAGTATCACCTGTTTACTGATTAGCTCCGCACACTGACATGTGACTTTTCTCTCATTATCATCTAGTGTTTCCGCTGGTCTTGTGGCTGGCTAGTTGCAACATCCTTAGTCTGTCTGGTAAACTTGAGCTGGACGGTAAAGAACCTGAATGAGTGAGAACATATTCCATGAGAGCTTCGTGGTGGAGGAAGCTGTGGTCCCAGATGTGGTTGGTGGTCTCATGGTGGTCTCATGGGAGGTTACACCCTGGGCAGGCAGGCCTACACAACAAGTCACTATACACAACAGGCCACTAAATGCAACATACCCCTTTACATAACACATGATGCAACCTTGACCAGTTACAAGCCGACCCAGCATTTCGACCCAAGATTACAAGACTACTCATCGTTTCCTTCCAACAACTGCACAACATATGGAATGCCTCCCACACTGAAGAAATGAAGTAACTCCTGACTCACAATTTAATGACACCTGACCAATCAAGAAGCTAGCCTCCCTTGACCACGCCTCCAGCTTCTGCCAGCCTCCAATCAACATCAAGATGCAGCAATCTTCCATCCAGCAAGTTGCAGTCAACGCCCGCAGAGTTCCTGCTGTCTTCTATGTCGTCTTCGTTATTGTTTATCCAGGCTTAGCAGTTGGGTCTAGTCCTGACTCTTCTCTCTTCGACTCAAGACATTCCTCTCACCGTCTATTCTTCGCACTGTCCCCACTTGCCCCTCGCCCCTCGTGGGTCCTTTCCGCTGAGTCCTTGATTGATTGATTGCAACCTCACCCCCCCTCCCCCGCCTAAAAAAAAATCACACTGATATCTGAACATGTTTGCTCAACATATTTAATTTTCATTTATTTTTAATTGCAAAATGATTCTCCTATACATCACCTACTGCCCTTTATATTCACTCTTTAACTCCTCTTTTCATCACTATCCTAAATAATGTCATTGAACTTCCTCATCTAACATGTTAAAACTATTAAACTTGATTCCATTCTTCTCTCACTTGATAAAATGTTACGTATGTTTTTATTTAAGATTATTAAACGTAACTCTAATTGTTTACCAGGTCATCAGTGCACGCATATATACATATTACGTTTTGTAGATATATATTACGATACTGTAATGCAGTCAAACAATGTTTGTTATGCCACTGTGACTTGCATTTAAACATTCTTAGATTTATAATCTTGAATGTATAATTCTTGCATACTTGATTCGTGGACATACAGTGTTTTAATGTTTTAATTTATAATCTTCATTAAAAAATGTTGATGTTCATGGATAAAATACCTGAGAATTGCATTAAGTCTTGTATTGGGATCTGGATGAGTCAGTTCACGTGTCATGACATCAGAGGTGTGGACTGGGACTCGAACTCCTGCCAGAATGAATACGACTGCTGCCGTTGCTGTGACCTGAACACACAAAAATTATTAACAATTATATTCTGTATAAAAGAAAATTAACTATATCGAAAACATGAGAAGCAGGAGTTCTTGCAGGTGTTCATCTTACTGCTGTGTGAACAATGTTTCTCCCTAACTTCCATACTGAAATTAATCCTTAGTTACATTTATGTACAGTAGTGATTATAAAAAGCATCATTTGCAATGTATTTTAACTATAATTATTTCTCTTCAGGAAGTTTTCACGAATCATTTTAAATTAATTCAAAAGAGATGGACCTACGATGTTCCCCAAATGTCAAACATCGACACTTCGGTGATTGTCAACAACTTTACAGTTAGTCAAGAAATTATGAAGGACTGTTAATGCTGAATTATGCTACTTCAATTTATTAGTAAAATCACCTATCATATTTTATTTACTTATTAATACTCAGAATATACAATTGTGTTATTATACTGATATCTTTTTTTGTTAGTGTTATCTAGACTATTCAATTTTTCTTGAACAAAGTCTTGGTAAAATACATGTTTAAAAATATAAAAGTTATGAAAACTATATTTAAAAATCTTCAAAAATAAAAATATAAAAAATTGTTGGACGCAGAAACACGAATTAATAACCGCTTACATGTCATGGAATTGTTGGTGTGTCGTGCGGAGGAGTCGTATTACAGACTAACCTCATTATCAAACTCCAGCAGAAGCTCCCATGCCTGTGGTTATAAGTCTACCAGGAGGCTCCTCAGAATTACTGCTATGGCTTTACATACCACTGACAAGCGTTACGTGACTTAGTCCCTTCTCCTGCAAAATCAATCATCTTCGTGAGTAAACAATTATGCGCTGTAATTAACGGTGTTCAAACAATAGTGATATTATATGTTGAGAGCTACAATTATTTTTCAAATTTAACTTACAATATTTTTTTTTTTTAAAACGGAAACCTGTAATTGTTTTACATGATGGTAGTATTCCTGATATTTTTTTTCTGTTCTAATAAAACATGAAAGATTTCAAGGTGTACGTCTTGTTACTTCTACTTACACTTAGGTCACATACACATGCATGTAACAAGCATATATATACACACCCATCTGGGTTTTCTATTTTCTTACTAGTTCTCGTTCTTCCTTTATTTTGCTTTTATCCCATGGGAAGTGGGTGAACAGAATTCTTCCTCTGAAAGCTGTGTGTCGTAAGAGGCGACTGAAATGCTGATAGCAAGAGGCTAGTAAACCCTTCTGTTTATATTAGTAATTTAAAAGGAGAAACTTACGTTTTTAATTTAGCACATTGGGGGCACCTGGGATGCGGCCGGTTTGTTGAAAGATTATATATATTTATATATATATATATCTAATATGATTTATATATATATATATATATATATATTATATATATATATATATATATTATATATAATATATATTTATACATATATATATATATATATAATATTATATTATATATATATTTATATATATATATATATTTATATTGTTATATATAAATATTATTTTTTTTTATTATCACACTGGCCGATCCCACCAAGGCAGGGTGGCCGAAAAAGAAAAAACTTTTCACCATCATTCACTCCATCACTGTCTTGCAGAAGGGTGCTTTACATTACAGTTTTTAAAACTGCAACATTAACACCCCTCCTTCAGAGTGCAGGCATTGTACTTCCCCATACTCCCGGACCAAGTCCGGCCTGCCGGTTTCCGGAACCACTTCATAAATGTTACTTTGCTCACAATCCAACAGCACGTCAAGTATTAAAAACCATTTGTTTCCATTCACTCCTATCAAACACTGCTCACGCATGCTGCTGGACAGTCCAAGCCCCTCGAACACAAAACTCTTTCCCACTCCTCCAACCTTTCCTTGGCCCGGACCCCTACCCGCACTTCCTTCCACTACAGACTGATACATCTAGAAGTTATTCTGTTTCGCTCCATTGTCTCCAAACTGTCCGAACCACCTAACAAACCCTTCCTCAGCCTCTGGACAACAGTTTTGGTAATCCCGCACTCCTCTAACTTCCAAACTACCGAATTCTCTGCATTATATTCACACCACACATTGCTCTCAGGACATAACATCTCCACTGCACCCCAGCTTCTCTCGTGCAACATTCATCCACCCATGCTTCACACCATATAGGAGCGTTGGTACAACTATACTCTCATACATTCCCCCTTGGCCTCAAGGGACAAAGTTCTTTGTTCATCAGTCTCCTAAGTGCACCACTCACCCTTTTCCCCCTCATCAATTCTATGATTCCCTCATCTCTTCATAGACCATCCGCTGACACGTCCACTCCCAAATATATGAATACATTCACCTCCTCCCATACTCTCTCCCTCCAACCTGAATCCAAATCATTCATACACCTAATCTTTTTGTTATCTCATTAACCTTACTCTTTCCTTATTCACTTTCAATTTTCTTCTTTTGCACACCCTTCCAAATCATTCCACCAATCTCTTTGCACAACTTCTCTGCAGAATCTCCCAAGAGCCAGTGTCATCCAGGCAAAGAGCAAATGTGACAAACTCCCACTTTTATGTGTGATTCTTTATCTTTTAACTTCCACGCTCTTGCCAAAGACCCTCGCACTTTACTTTTTTTACAACCCCATCTATAAATATATTAAACAACCACGGTGGACATCACACATCCTTGTCTAAGGACCTACTTTTACTGGGAAATAATTTCCCTCTTTCCTACATACTCTAACTTGAGCATCACTATCTCGTATAAAACTCTTCACTGCTTTCAGTAAAACTATCCTCCTACCCACCATACACCTGCAACATCTGCACATTTGCCCCCCCTATCCACCCTGTCAACGCCTTTTCCAATCCATAAATGCCACAAAGACCTCTTTAGCCTTATTAAATACTGTTCACTTATATGTTTCAATGTAACACCTGGTCCACACACCCCCTACCTTTACTAAAGCCTCCTTGTTCATCTGTTATTCCTATTCTCCGTCTTACTCTTAAAATCTTTCAATAATAATCTACCATACACTTTGCAGGTATACTCAACAGCTTATCCCCCTATAATATGTGCACTCTCTTTTATCCCCTTTGCTTTATACAAAGGAATATGATGCTCTCTGCCAATCCCTAGGTTACCTTACCCTTTCCTACATTTATTAAATAATTGCACAACCACTCCAAAAACTATATCCACACCTGCTTTTAACATTTTTTTCTTTATCCCATCCAATCACGGCCTCCTTACCCCCCTTTCATTTTACCTACTGCTCACGAAACTTTCCCCACATCCAACTGGCTCTTCTCACTCCTTACAAGATGTTGTTCCTCCTTGACTATACACGAAATCACTGCTTCACTATCTTCATCACATTTAACAATTCATCAAAATATTCCTCCATCTTCCCACTTCCTCTAACTCTCCATTTAAAACTCTCACTCCTATTTTTAACTGACAAATCCATTTGTTCTCTAGGCTTTCTTAACTTGTTAAATTCTCATCCAAAACTTTTTCTTATTTTCAACAAAAATTTGTTGATAAACATCTCACCCACTCTTCATTTGCTCTCTTTTTACATTGCTTCACCATCTCTTAACCTCTCTCTTTTTCTCATATACTCTTCCTCCTTGCATCACTTCAACTTTGTTAAAACTTCTCATATGCTAATTTTTCTCCCTTACTACTCTCCTTCACATCATCATTCCACCAATCGCTCCTCTTCCCTCCCACACCCATTTCCTGTAACAAAATTCTGTGAACACTCTAACACTACATTTCGTAAACCTACCCCATACCTCTTCGACCCATTGCCCTATGCTCGACATTTAGCCCATCTATCCTCAATAGCGGTTTATATCTTACCTAACTGCCTCCTCTTTTCAGTTTATAAAGGCTCACTCTCTATTCCCTGATTATTCTATTCTCCTTGTATCCCATCTACTTTTTACTCTCAGTGTAGTTCAAAACTAGAATGTGATCTCGATATATCTGTGGCCCCTCTTAAACATGTACTATCCTGAAGTTACTCAACAGTCATTTTATCTACCAATACTTAATCCAACAAACTACTGTCATTTCGCCCTACGTCATTCTTGTTAAATTATTTATCCTCTTTTTCTAAAACAGTATTACCTATAAACTAAACCCTTTTCTATACAAAGTTCAATCAAAGGGCTCCCATTACCATTTACACCTGGCACCCCAAACTTAAGAACCACACCCCCTCTAAAAGTTTCTACTACTTTAGCAATTAAGTCCCCTACCACCAAATTTACTCTCTCATTGATCATAGTGCTACTATACATTCACTTAACATCTCCCAAAATCTCTCGCTCTCCTCTGATTTCCTCTTCTTCTCCAGGTGCATACACGCCTTATTATGACCACTTCTAGCATCCAACCTTACTTTAATCCACATAATTCTTGAATTTACACATTCATATTCTCTTTTCTCTCTTCCATAACTGATCATTCAACATTACTGCTACCCCTTCCTTTGCTCTAACTCTCTCAGATAACTCCAGATTTAATCCATTTATTTCCCCCCACCGAACTCCCCTACCCCTTCAGCTTTGTTCGCTATAGGGCCCGGACATCCTATTCTTTTTCATTCATAACATCAGCCAATCATCTTTTTATTGTCTCCGCACTACATCCACGCACATTTAAGCATCCCAGTTTTATAAAGTTTTTTCTTCTTCTCTTTTTTAGTAAATAGTCTCAGGAGAAGGGGTTACTAGCCCATTGCTCACGGCATTTTAGTCGGCATCATACGACACGCATGGCTTACGGAGGAAGGATTCTTTTCCAATTCCCCATGGACAATTGATGATAATAAGAGGAACAAGAGCTATTAGAAAAAGGAGAAAAACCTAGATGTATGTATATATATAATATGCATGTTGACGTGTTCTGTGAAGTGTGACCAAAGTGTAAGTAGGAGTAGCAAGAATATCCATGTTATCTAGCGTGTTTAT